TAATAGTTATAGCCTTGTTGGTCCTTGAAAAATAATATTTAAAATCCCACGGTATACTCACCATCTAAATCTTCCTCAAGTTCAATGGTACGAAATCCAATGTTAATAGTTTTTTGAGATTTTGTCTTGGATCGGAGGGTTGGTCCATTGATTTCCGTATAACATTTGGCCACAAGGTAAAGGGGGTATAATTTTTGTTCACCATAGCCATTGGGCCACCATAGATTTACTCTATCCTACATGAAATTAAAAAAAATAATAATACAATTAAATAAATATTTTCAATAACTCAAATGCCTTACCTTGGGAATATGGACTTGGAATTCTATTTTGGGATTATTATAGAAAATCATGCGGCGGTCCAATGTCAATGGTTCATCCAGAAGTTCACTAGAAAAAATTAAAATTTATACAATATTTATTCTGCAGATTTCGGAATTATTTTAACCTACGCCGCTATAAATTTCAATTCGGCATAGAAATTCTGCCTAACACCGGTTGTCAAAAATACCCGAACATCCAGTGTCCAATGGGTGTCATTGCGACGTATAGCCACATCAACATCACGCATTATGGCCACTTCATAATATTCTAATTCCACTGGTTTCCATAGGCCCATAGATGGTGCTGCCAAATTCCATTCGCCACCAAAACTCATTTGCATTTTACGCACCATATTACGATGACATTCACCATTCTCCCGATTAGGGGGGCAATTTGGTGGCGCATTAATACCCTTAGACATTAGGTCATCGGCACGTTCCTTGGCCGCAACTATGGGTGATTTTATTTCAACTTCTAAAACATTTTCTGGTTGCAACAATGTCGTAATTTCATAGGAATAACGAACAAACATATTATCGGTTTTCCCGAGGATTTTATTATTCAAACGTATCGTGGAAACTGTATCAATCCCGTGGAAGGTGAGATTAAGTTTGGTATGTGCGTCAACATTGGCTGAAGGGGAAGGAGGTTTGAAATTATATTAAGAATGTGTGAAATTTAGTGGAATTAAATTTGTTGACTTACCACTAAATGTTGTTGAAAACGTCCACGAGTCTTTGGCAATCCAACGGAGATCATCATCGTTTTTGGAATTCAATAGGTCACCATAGAGATCCTTCAGGGCAGTATATACTCCAATGGGTGCCTTTAGCCCAGTTAATGAGATAGCTAAGGAAATAGAAAAAAAATATTTTTTAAAAACTCCACGCTTATAGCTGTGATAGTCTTTAAAAAATATTCTTTAAAAAATCCACGCTTATAGCTGTGATAGTCTTTAAAAAATATTCTTTAAAAAATCCACGCTTATAGCTCTGATAGTCTTTAAAAATTATTTTTTAAAAAATCCACGCTTATAGTTGTGATAGTCTTTAAAAAATATTTTTTAAAAAATCCACGCTTATAGCTGTGATAGTCTTTAAAAAATATTTTTTAAAAAATCTACGCTTATAGATGTGATAGTCTTTAAAAAATATTTTTTAAAAAATCCACGCTTATAGCTGTGATAGTCTTTAAAAAATATTCTTTAAAAAATCCACGCTTATAGCTGTGATAGTCTTTAAAAAATATTTTTTTAAAAAATCCACGCTTATAGCTGTGACAATCTTTAAAAATATTCTTTAAAAATCGCCGCTTATAGTTTTGAAAGTCCTTAAAAACAATATTTAAAAAATTCAAGCTTATAGCTATGATAGTGCTTAAACAATATTTAAAAAAAATCCACGCTTATAGCTGCGAAAGTCCTCAATAAAGTAATATTTAAAAAAATTCACGCGCATAGTCCTGTGATAGTCCTTAAAAACTAATATTTCAAAAATCCACGCTTATCTAATATTTAAAAAATCCAATAAATATATATTTTTTTAAATTGCCTCGTTTATAGTTGAGAATGTCTTTCTAAAAATATTATTTAATAACCCCATGATTATAGAACTGGTAAATATTCTTTAAAAATCAACGCTTATAGACCTGATAGTCCTGCAAAAAATTCCCTAAAAATTCTACGCTTGTTAGTATCCCCGAAAAATTATACTTACTCCTGGAAATATAGGTTACTAAAAATATATCCACATTTGTTCTACATTTTGCTTATCCTCTTCAATATACCTTTATTTCTCCGAAAGCCTCAACGTAATTTTTATTGAGAACTCAATACAATTTTTGTAAATTAAATAAACAAATCACAATCAACAATTTATACGATATAAACAAAACACTGATAAACAAACGTAAATTCGCCAAAAACAAAAAATACGGAATGCTCTCAATTGTTATCGAGATATTTTTTTTAGTAGAACGGTAGGCGAAATTGACGGCTGGGTTATCTTATCTGGACGTAGAACCACAACAGTTGTTATTAAACATTTTCAATTGTTCAATTGATTAGATAGACGACTCGGGTTTTATTTTGGCTGATGTCTGTATGTCATTGCAAATCAAAGAAGAATTGATTGATGTAGAATTTCATACAAGATGGGTCGATGAAATTGGAACGCATTTCTTTTTTATATATTATCCATAAATTATAAAATAAACTGGTTTGTAAACTCCTATAAACTCTATAATCTAATCTGCACTACGTAACATTTTTACTAATGATATATTAGGTTGGGGAAAAAGAAATCCATTATTTTTCGGACATTTACATCTGCGAAACCTTTGCCAAACGGAATGAGATAGACCCATTTCTTAAACGGATGGTGACTGGAAATGAGAAATTGATTACATACGATAACCCTGTGCGAAAACGATCGTGGTCAAAGAGCGGTGAAGCACCTCAAACGGTGGCCAAACCAGGACAAACGGGCAGGAAGGTTTGCTATGCATTTTGTGGGGCTGGAAGGGGAGTGGTTTATGATAGCAATTGACCTGATTTGGCCAACAGAAGAGGTGTCTTGTTTCACCAGGACAACGCACAGTGGGCGAAAAGGCTCATCTAGCGGCGTTTAATTAATAGCGCTTAGGGATTTTGTATTTTATTTTTTGTAATATTTTTTTTAGTTGAAAATAGATTAAGCTACAGAGTTAAACAAAAAAAAAATTAATGTATTTATATATTTTAATATATATATATATATATATATTTTTTTTTTTTTTTTTGTTTATTTCATTCAGCAAAACATGATAAGGTTAGTATATTTAATGTTTCTCATTCTTTGGGGCCAAGAATATATTAAACTTTAATAATAAAAACATTTTTTTAAAAATTTATTTATTATTTTTTTAATAATATTGTTGGCCTTATTAAGACTTCACATATTTCAGTTGTTTTCATAACAAAAATTTAATTATAAATAAAAACAGGAAATATACAAATCGAAATAAGAAACTATTATTACTATTGTAATAATAGTTATTCCGATTTGGATACACAATGTTCTGACAAAAGTTGTAAAATATCATTATGGGCATCTTTCTTTTTTTGGTTGCTTGTGGTTTGCGTAAATTTGAAATCAAGGGATCTGATTAACACAAAAGCGCTTGCATTAAGTCTTTCATTGTATTTAATCGGGATGTATTTCGCGTATGGTGCTCACGGAAATTGCGACAATCTTCGCCGGGCTTCCATTTCCTACTTTTTTCCTAATTGAAGTGTTGATACTTTAATTATATGGGCTCCATGTATTAAGATTTTATGTATGGAACACGGCATATAAAACCAAGGATACAGTATGATAAAAAGTTCTGCGTTTTGTAAAGCATATTCCATAAAAGATTCAATATCGATTTTGAGCCCGCAAGAAATGAGATTCTGCACACTCCGTTCAGCAACATTAAATTCTGATAGAAAAATGAGCTTCTTCGAGGCGCGTAACAATATGATCTACCATATCTTGTAAAGGCACTTGAGCTGAATAGTTCGTAAATTGGACTCCATTTGGATAACATTTTAGTTTCGTTTTGTTGGAGCATTCGTCAAACTTCTTATCGGGTGTTCCACGATTAGTCAGTGGATTAACTTATAAAAGTTATCCGTCTAACCACTCCTTGTTGTTTTCTTCAAATTTGTGGCGGCTTCTATGGTCGAATTTCCATTTCTCAGCCAATTTTGCTACAAATTTTCTATTTTTTTTTTTTTTTTTTTTGTTTATTAGAAGATCTTTATTAGCATTGCACATGTTGATATTAATAATATTATTAAATATATGAGTTTCAATGACAGAAATTTTTTTAGTACACACAGGCTCGTTGCGCCATAGTAAATAAACTTCTCGTCTGAGCATCGACATTTTTCCTAAAAAAATGCAATATCTTGTAAAGTTGCAGGTGGCTGCAGATCATTTGGGCATTTTATAATCACAAGATGACGTAGTAATTTAAAAAAACACATTCTAGCGCGAATACACACGAATATCAGAAGTTCCGGTCTATGGAAGTCTTACTTTGGATTTTTTTCAAGCAGATGAGTGGTATAGTACACTTGAACTATATTTTTTCTACAACACTTAAGCACAGGTCACAAACAAAATTTTTTTTAGTTAATACATACCTCTAATAATAAATAAATCAACTTTTCATTCACTTAATTGAGACAAATGCTACTTTAGAGAAAATTGGGCAATGCAAAGAAAACACGTGTTGAAGCATAGTTATACATTAGATAGGCATTTTGAAGTTACCTTTAAAAAGACAACAAAACGAAGCATATTTGGCCCAAATCGGACATTCCGAAGAATGTTAAATAAAGTGCTATAGTTCATAATGGATTTCTTTTTCCCCAACCTAATATAAAGTCCGTAGGTAAAAGTATGAGTCCACTTCTTCAGGATGTATCAATGAATTTTTAAAGGTGCTTTAAAACTACATAGTACTCATTATATCGTCTGGCTTAAAGCTGAGCTTTTATTACAATTAATTCGAACTTTCTTTTATTTCAGAATCCAAAGCTTAAAATCTACACCTCTACACGACCCAAAATTAAACATATGCTGTCCTTGATCATAAATCAGTGAGACCATAGGCAAACTTAAAGGTAAGACATTATTTCAAGAAAAAGAATCCAAAGCAGAACAGAATTCTGTATTTTTGTTCCACTCATATTGGATTAGTAAAGTATTTTAAACTACAAATATCCCACAGCATGCTGGACCTACTGAAATAAGGTGGTTGTAGCCCACGTGTCTTTGGTCAGAATTAATTTCAGCTTCAATGTATTTTAGTAGTAGTATTTTGTATTTTTTGTGTTCTCAATTCGTTTACCTAATACCTAGTCCAAATAATTTAGTACCAAACTAACATTTCGTGTTTTTGGTGCACTATTTACATAAAATCGGACGAGCGATGGAAGAATGTCCCTATAAAATTTCAACTGAAAATCTGAACAATCAATCGACGTTAAGTGTGATTTTCAAACAGTAAACGAGTTTTTTTTTCCAAAACAATGTTTTTACAACTGGCGGGCACGATTACTCAAATACAGTAAAGTACGGTTATAGCGAACTTCCAGAGACCAGGCAAATTCGTTCGTTATAGAAGAAGTTCGTTATTTCCAAGGTAAGGAATAACCTAGGATAAACAGGAAAAAATATATTCAGTTCCGAAATTGAGAGTTTTTGTGTTCTTTTTGAAAATACTTAAGCTGCTTCTCTTTTTCTTTTTTACAAAGGTTGTCAGTGTTAGGATATAAACTTAACTTGTGTTAAAATCAAAATAAATGGAAACCGAAAGTTGGGACTGAATAAATAGTTCATTATATCTAAAGCTCGCTATATCCGTTGTTCGCAATAAGAGTTAAGATTTGCATGACCAGGAAATGTGTTCGCTATAAGGAAAGTTCGCTATAAGCGTACTCGACGGTACTACTAATCTAATCGTTTGCAATTTAAACGTTTATCTATGAGTATACATGTACTATTTATAATGCCTTTGGAATTTTGGGATTCCAACGATCCAGTGAGGAGTTAATATGCCCTCCATTAAAAATTTTCTTTCCCTGAGTTCAAAATGTTCTTACGAAAATTATCAATATAGGTACACGTTGTGGATCCTTTTTGTTTTTATGGCCCAATACAAAGCATTATTTTGCGTTTTTACATGGTCATATGCAATTTTTTTAACCGAATAGGCTGTAACTTTGCATGTATATTTTAAATATGACCCCATAACATTTCCGGTATGTTTTAAAGGTACTACTACTTGAATGGAGTGGGAGAGCGGGGCAGTATAGTCTACGGATATATACACCGAGCCTGGGTAATATTTCGCGATATCGATTAAAAGTCAACAGATCCTATATTTTTTCGCTGGCATATTTCCCGAACCATGTTTTCCTGGAGTAAACTTTAAAGTCATACGATGTACATTAGCTTATTTTACAACAAAAAAAACTCTTGATTCATTTGACCCCCCTAATATTGACAGATCATTTTTTGACCAGACTCTTTCCAGTGTAAAATTGTAATTTTTGGCTTACACAGAAATAATATGTTCGGCCCATTCTATGACCTAAATAACATCTGATCATCAGCGATATTTATAGGTGTCGTTCTCGACCAAACCCAAACAATTTCGTCTTCTAAAGTGTTAATGGTAATACAAACCAAATGAAAATAGGTACATACTCCAATATAATTGGTATCTATATAAAGGTCAAACACTCCTCTTGGATATACCGTCAACTACTCCGGCCCTTCAGGTGTGAATGGAAGTTTTATCATTTTTCACACAAAATTCTGGGTCCATTTGACCCGCTAAATATTGACAGACTTCTTCCTCCGTGTAAAATTTTGCGGTGTTCGGGTCAGAAGACAAAAGTAGTTTTTAGTCAGTTTCAACCATTAAATATTAACCGACATTACCAAAAACAATATGAGTTTTCTTTGGTCTGAACCGAACCTACATGCAAAATTTCGTATTTAGAAATTATAATGGATAGGCGGTCGGACACACATGTCTAGATTGACTTAGCTAGTCGAGATATGATCGGTATACTAAAATGTGGGTCCAGAACCAAAATTTCGGAGCGTTACAAACTCTTGCCGATGTAGCAATGTCTGTCTGTTGAACTCACGATAGAGCGCGCAATAATGAACAACACCAGTTTTCAATAGGATAGACCCACAATTTTCAATAGGATAGACCCCATATAACGGTACCTCCAAAATTTCGTTTGATATTTTTATTCACATTGGGTAGTTAATATTATTACCAAAAACATCAATACTGTTCCACTTTTTACGATAGTTTTTAATACGGCATCTTCAGCTTTTTTTTTTTTTTGGAATTATGGACGTGTTTTTACCATAATTGGTTCGAATTGGGTGTCAAATCTTCCTACAAAAAATTACCGTGGCATAGCCCTCCGTCTATGGACGCCCCGAACGATAACGGGTATTTTAAATGTTCACATTATGGTGGAAGGTATAAAATGTTGGGTCCAGTCGATCTTAACGACGTTTTTACTTTTTATTTCTTGTGTTGAATTTTAATAATTTCAATGCATGGTTGATGGCGCATTTCCTACTTGTCAAAAGTTCAAAAGAAAAACCCGTTAGTAAACACAGATCTTATATTTTTTGAATTTGGATTGGAACTGCATACAAATTAAATTCCCATTCCTCCCAATATGTTCACAATATTGAAGTTCTTGTTTATTGATAACCACTTCCATAGATAACTTTTGTTGTGTTTAATTGATAAGTATGTGTATAGAGCATTATCTATTAATAACTCAATTTAATATTTACAATTTACTATAATTGTATATATCACAGCATTATTATACATTCACAATACCACCTGGATTCAAAACCGACATGTTTATCGTAATTAATTTTAATAAATTTTTATTTTATTTTAATTTTTCATTATCCAATAAACATTTTTAGAAATCGAAATTGTTTTTTTTTTTTTATTATATATTTATATCAGCATATCACAATTCAATTTGTTTATTTTCTTGTATTCTTTCCTGTTGAATATTTTTACTTTAATAAGTTATTTTTAAATGAAGATTATAATTTAAAAATAAAAACAAATTTTCTTCTTTAATTGGCACTCCAAAAAACCCGATTTTATTGATATATGGTGTAGGTGTACGGTATCACGTGACAGTTGCTGCCGAGTATTGTATTCTCTTCGCACATTGTTGACAATAATAATATATGATTTAATACCACCAGACAAATTTCCAATAATATTGGACACTTTAAAATAATTTATAAAACATATATAAATTAGTATTAATTTATTTTATAGCAAAGAATTTCTACGCAAATATTTTATATAGCCCACTGTCAACTGCAACTCACTTTTATTTTCATTTATCAAATTCCAATTGGTCAAACTGACCGTCTTCACTTTATCGCATTTCACAAAGGAATTTGAGAATATAACCAATAACAGCAATAACACGGCGTATGATTCACGATATTTCGGCATTATTATATTTATTTTTATTGTTTTCTCCAATTTTTATTCAAATTTTCATTTTTGCAACTTATCTAATTCGATTCTACAAAACAAAGTTGTCAGAAGTATTGGATTTTTTCATCGATTGCTTATCTCTATTTTTAGGGTAGAATTTCTTTTTTGATACACACACGTGCGATTTCCCGTACCGTTCGTTTACAGAGTTCGAGGAAAACTGTTCTCCGTTTTTTGTTTCGTTGAAGTTCTTTTCTCTGCAGAAGTTGTCTAAAATTTATTGATTATAACTTGTTTTATATTGACATATCGCTCATGGAGAGCTGATAATGACGAATTTATCAGCAGTCTTCAATCAGTTCCAATTTTTGTGTTATGTCGTAGCAATCGATTAGTGGTTATTATTGTTGTGAGTTATGTTTTTGTTTTTGAAAGGGGGTGAAACAGAATGCAATTATTGTCAAGATATTAAGAGAACGTATATACGAGAATATGGGTTATTTTTGGGGACTAGCAATTTCTGCATAAAGTATTTTATTCACTAAGAATATGAAATTCCAAATTATAAACACTTCGTAAGAGCAATGACAAAAAATCTGAAAAATATCGAGGATAGGCGGTATTTTTATATTGGAGCCTGCTTCAAAGCTGGGTGTTATAAAGAACTTTTCTGCAAGAACCTGGAGTGCCAAACTTATGCCACATAGGTGGGAAATTGCGGCAATGGGCTTAAAACTGCCGAATTTGAAGCAGGACTTTGCCAAAACATGGACCTATATTGATCATTTTCTACATAGATATATGCCAACCTCAAAAAACAGAGATCACAAATTACTGCATTCGGCCGGAAAATGTGATACCGTTATAAAGGAACTATACCAAAACGTGAACCGATATACTCCATACCAAATATCATAGGAGAGAAAATAGAGTTTGCAAAATTTCAAAACTCTATTTAAATATTGAAATCTTACTCCAAATTTTAGGATTCTAGCTCTATCAGTCCATCCAATCTTCAAATTTAGTAAGCATGTAAAAATTATCTTATTTCCATATTTCAGGATTTAAGCTCTGTTGGTTCACCAAAATCCAAATTGTTGGTTCACCAAAAATCAAATTTAGAATTTTTCGTACACATTTCCAAAACAACAACCCTAACTCCAAATGTCAGGATTCAAAATTTTGGTGTCCCAACTCTATCAGTTCACCTAAATCGAAATTGTACCAAATTAAATACCATTCAGTATAGTCGAAATTTCCAAAACGTCCTACATACCCCAATCCTACACCCCAGCAGTGATCCTAACGCCAAAATTTCAGGATCCCAGCTCTATTTGTTTAATTAAAATAGCTACCTACACACCTCAATCTACTCTCTAAAAGTAATCTTAATTTAAAAATTTTACTATTCCAGCTCCAAGACTAAACTGTATCAAATTTAGTATCATTAGGTGCACATAAGAACAAATTTCCAAAACTACCTCTATACCCCCAATCCTACACTCCAACAATAATCTTATTTCCAAATTTCAGAGTTCCAGCTCTACCGGTTCACCTAAAACCAAATTGTACCAAATTTAGTACGCATTAGTACGCGTACGTACCCCAAACCTACACCCCAAAAGTGATCCTAACTGTAAATTTCAGGATTCCAGCTCCATTGGTTCAACTAAAATTCGAATTGTACCAAATTTCGTACACTTAAGTACAAAATTTTCAAACTACCTCTATTCAACAATGCAGTAGTAAAAGTATTTCCAATTTTCAGTGTTCCAGCTTCATCGGTTCACCGAAATCCAAATATAGTACCATTTAGTACATTTCGTACTCATAAGTAGAAATATCGAAAACTACCAACATATCCCAATCCTGTACCTAATTTAGTACTCTGTGTAAAATTTTTTCTCGACGGACTAATATTGGCAGTATGGTGCTCCATTTATATAAAATTGGACGAAACTATATATGGTAGGTATATCTAAATCTGAACCGATTTTCTCCAATTTCAATGGACCAAATGAGTGACATGTGTCAAATTTCATCCAAATCGTATCATAAATGCGAATTGTTATTTTGTTCACAAAAATACATGCACGGACGGACATGCATATGTCGACTCAGAATGTGATTTTATGCATATTCTCAAACGGAACCATGGGTCTATCTCGATTCCACAAAGACATAATACCATGTACCACAGTGTGGCGAAGGGTATAAAGGACTGGAGCTATGTAGACACATGGACAATGTTATGTAAAGAATTTGTGTAATCGTTAAGGTCTGGCATTGCCAAAAACCTGGTCAATACGGAATGAACTATTAATGGAAATGGATCGTAGGTGCCCATAGCTAAAAAAAATTAATTACAATTAAATAGTTTTATATAGAATACTTTGAGGCAAAATTAAATTTCTTTTCTCGTTATATTGAACATACAACTCTCCGATTTTATCGAAGTGTAATCATTTTCCTTCAAACTCAGAGAGAAACTCTCCATACGGAAATTTATTTTTTACATACTTATAACTGATTGCTAGCCTACATTACTGCTCGATATTCTCTCTCTCTCTCCTATCTGATAAATTGATAAAATATTATCTCCTTACCAACCAGCAGTTATTGCCTATATATTGTTAATTGGTAAATAATATAAATACATCGTTAATGCCAATGATTTCATATAAGGCATTAATAAATAAACTAATTGGGTTATTGATAAATTAGATGGCTTATATAAATTTGAGTAAGTTTTGTAATCTATAAATATATAAATACGATTTCTAGAATAAAAATTTCTTGAAAATTGTCCGATATTTACATACACACAGAAAAAAAAGTAACCATTTAATAAAAAAATACAAAAATCCAATTAAAATTTGATTGATTTTTCGCCGATAAAAATAATGTTCATATTTACAATCGCCGATAAAAAAAATTGTAATCCCATTCGAAAATATTTTGATAAAGCAATTCTCATATATACTAAAAATTTTGTTGAATTTTATTTTGTTAATCGATAAAATATTTTTCATATTGACAATCTTGTTTATCAAATTATTATTATTATTTCAAATTTAATTTCTTGTAGTATGATACAAAACCTTTTAAACAGCAATTGCCGATTTTTACCCTTATTATTACAGCTCTCCCACAAAAATACCTCCAAATTTTCAGTATTTTAACGGCTTTAAACTAAATGTGTAGCTCTATACCGAATAAAAACTTATATTTGTTATCCATCTTTTACAATCTATTCAACAAAGTACATTGTAATAACGTAATAAAAATTAATATGGCATATTACAAAAGAAATTATTAAAAATTGTCCAACAAATTTAATAATTTTTTTGGTCAACTCGTTTGTTGATGGTTTTTTTGTGAATTGTTGGTGCTTGATAAACATTTCCGACTACGTTTGAAATATGTTATCGACATCTTTTGGTCGAACGCTGATGAAGCTTTTAATCAAAAATTTCGGGGTGGCTTTTTTCTGTGCAGTGTCGGCAAAAATTATAGAAACAAGAACAATATGATAGTTTCAATTTTATTTTTTGTCGGAATAGAAAGTCGGATTTTTATAATAAGCACATCGATTTGAAGGATTTTTTATGTAACCTTTTGTCTACATCCATTTACCAACCAATGCACATTCCTTTCTGCAACCTTTGCTAAATTTCATTTCATTCGGGCATATTTAGAGTCTTTTGCGTACAATGTGATATAGTTATGTAAATCGATTAAAAGCAAACTTGATACAGGATATTCGGTATGACACTGTTCAAAATTTAATCTCAATTAGACACCCGTTCGAAATAGCTATGTCTGCACGTGCACCAATTTCAACAAAACACAATGACGTCGCTGTAGTCTCAATTTGACAGGTTGTACAAAACTCCGTATCGATCGGAACCGATTGTGAACCGATTTCAACGAAGCTTTCCACAGAATAATTAATATTAATATTATTATTGTGCAAAATTGTCTGCCAATCGGAAAACGTTGGGTCTATATCTAAATCTAACCGACCCAATCAGACTTAATCCAGGGCGCTATGCCAAATATCGTGCAAATCAAAAGATAAAAAGGGACTTTGGTGCACCATTTACATAAAATCTGACGAAAATATATATGGGAGCTATATGTAAATCTGAACCCATTTTCACAAAACTTAACACACATCATTCTAGAGTTAGTTCAGTGCGCTATGCCAAATTTCGTGGAAATCGAAAGAAATATAGGAAATTTGGTGCGTCATTTACATAAAACCAGACGTATATATATATATATATATATATCTCGATCGATCTTTACTTTGTTCACGAAGTGATTCCATACATATTCTCAAAAGGAACCATGTTACAAACATATGCACAAATACATAATACCCTGTATTGTGTGATAAAGGGTGTAAAAAGACATTTCTAAATTACCTCCAAATTGGCTGAAGTGAATTTGGTTTAAAAAATAATCCGGCGTTACAAGTTTATTTTTATATTCCCAGCCTTGTTGCTAATGATAGGTAAAAATGTGCCTCGTCGAAATATTGGTTTTAGACCCCATGTCTCTTTGGACCAAATCCATTTCGGAAAATTTGGAGTCGATTTACAAATTTCCGTCTGTCTATCTGGCCGGCTGGTGCGTACGATAACTCTTGAAGGCAGTAATCGATTTCATCCAAACTTTGAACATCTTAATATTAATGCCAAACTCAGTTCAAGTTCGAAGATGGGACCTATTGGTCCACTCTTTCTGGTACCTCCCCTCACAAAATGGTCAAAATTGAGGAAAAAAATAATTTTATAATAACATGCGACCGGACTATCCGCTTTGAACCAAACTTTGTACAACATAGTATTTTTACCAAGCCTAATGTTCTGCCAGGAAATCGTTTACATTTCTAAAATTCGAATAATCAAATTACAGTCTTTTCTGTAGGTAAATATAGTTAAAACTTCAAAGGTACCAAAAATAGGTCGCACCTCCAATGCATTTGAAAATTTTTAAATCTTCATAAA